TTTCTTGAGGTAAGCCTATATTGCTATGAACCTTCCCCTTAGCACTGCTTTTACAGTGTCCCATAGGTTTTGAGTTGTTGTGTTTTCATTTTCATTCGTTTCTATGCAGATTTTTATTTCTTTTTTTATTTCTTCTGTGATATTTGGTTATTCAGCAGCATGTTTTTCAGCCTCCATATGTTGGAATTTTAAAGGTTTTCTCCTGTAATTGACATCTAATCTTACTGCATTGTGGTCAGAAAAGATGCTTGGAATGATTTCAATTTTTTTGAATTTGCCAAGGCAAGATTTATGGCCCAGAATGTGATCTATCCTGGAGAAGGTTCCATGTGCACTTGAGAAAAAGGTGAAATTCCTTGTTTTGGGGGTGAAATGTCCTATAGATATCAACTAGGTCTAACTGGTCTATTGTATCATTTAAAGTTGGTGTTTCCTTGTTAATTTTCTGTTTAGTTGATCTATCCATAGGTGTGAGTACAGTATTAAGGTCTCCCACTATTATTGTGTTATTGTTAATTTCCCTTTTCATACTTGTTAACATTTGCCTTACATATTGCAGTGCTCTTATGTTGGGTTCCATATATATTTATAATTGCTATATCTTCTTCTTGGATTGATTCTTTAATCATTATGTAGTGTCCTTCTTTGTCTCTTTTCATAGCATAAAATAGATAAAAATAGATAAAAATAGATAAAGTCTATTTTATCTGATATGACTATTGCTACTGTCTTAGCAATATAGTCTCCTGCTGTCTTTTAGTCTCTATTTGCTTGGAATATCTTTTTCCAGCCCTTCACTTTCAGTCTGTATGTGTCCCTTGTTTTGAGGTGGGTCTGTTGTAGACAATATATATAGGGGTCTTGTTTTTGTTTCCATTCAGCCAGTCTTTGTCTTTTGGTTGGGGCATTCAACTCATTCACATTTAAGGTAATTATTGATAAGTATGATCCTGTTGCCATTTACTTTGTTGTTTTGGGTTCGAGTTTATACTCCCTTTTTGTGTTTCCTGTCTAGAGAAGATCCTTTAGCATTTGTTGGAGAGCTGGTTTGGTGGTGCTGAATTCTCTCAGCTTTTGATTGTTTGTAAAGCTTTTGATTTCTCCTTCATATTTGAATGTGAACCTTGCTGGGTACAGTAATCTGAGCTGTAGGCTTTTCTCTTTCATCACTTTAAGTACGTCCTGCTATTCCCTTCTGGCTTGTTGTTATTTTTTAAACCATATTTAAACAAATATGCACTAGTGTCATTTTATTGATTACTAAAAGTAAATTAAATGAAACCACTGTACTTTTCGTCACATCATCTGGATATGGTTTTTATATACTAGAGAACATCAAGTAATTTGAAATCACTTAACTTCCTGAGATGAGAAAATCTGGTACAGCTACAATCGCCATAACCAGAAAATTTTGGCTTAGTTTGGTGGGCAGCCTCAAAGGAATATACCCACAGTATTCCTAGTCACTTATGAAACCCCATTATTCTTTAACTTCAAAAGTGTAGAATTCCTCTTTTGTCTGTTTTTTTAAAGCAGATTGGCTACTGTTTAGGAGAGAAAAAATTTCAGATGTAAGTGTTTGCAGGACTAAAGCCAATCTGAGAAGTTCTATGTTACATTAATTTACCTTTATGACAAGTAATCATTCAAATGACCTCTAGCTTCCCTAACAAGATTAAAGTTTCAGAATGTAAAAGGCATTTTCTACTTCATCAAATATTTACTTCTTAAGTGTTCTGAAAAGCTTTATATATTCTTCTTTAGAATGAATTTATGCAGCCTTGCAGCATTTAAATTAAAACAGAAACATCATGATGTAAGAAAAAATGAAAGCCAAGGCTTCTGCTATCCCAATGAGAAATACTGGAGACAAATATTGAGAAAATGAAAATAATTAGATGAAAATATACTGCTTAGAACTTAACATTAAGCAGGTGCAGAAAGTGAGTGAAAGGAGAACTTTAAATCTTAGTACTCGATTTTTATTGCTAGTAAAGAGAATTTTAAAGCACTATTAATTGAACAAAACCCATGATTAGTGGTAATTACAGAGATTTTCTACATGCACTATGATCTTGCTGAATTTCTAAAGAGATAATCAAGGCTATTATTGTTAATAGATGGGGAAAATCATATAATGATTTCCATATTTTGTCACAATTGAACTGAGATAAAGTAGTCCTTCCTTCTCTCCCCATAAGAAAGAATTGTCTTTGTCAGGAAAATAAGTTATGGAGCTTGTTTTTAAAATCAATTTTCCCCGAATGAAGAAAAAAAAGAGGATTTCCATAATACCTTTGATAGTTGCCTAAGGGCTCTGTAAATAAGAATAACTAAAAACTACAAAGATTTTAAAGGAAAATCTAGATTCAGCTGGGTCTTTAAACATTTTTCTGAAAGATTACACACAGCTTTTAAGATGCTGAAAAATACAAATTTTACGTGTTGTACTATAATGGCCAAATCCTTCAGCAGTAAATTCTGCCATGATGAAAATCTTCATAACAAAGACCCTTTGTCAAAGACAAAGTCCTAGTACATGAAAAGACTATGTATAATTCCTTAGAATTCAATTATTTATGTATTGAAAACTAAATGCATACAACAGTGAGCTAGATACTGAGGGGGCATACAAAGAATACTATGTGGAACAGGTAAAAATTTGGACTCCAGAATTCCTGTTTATAGCATACAGAGTGATAAGAGTCTACATATCACAGCAATTATGCCTGGTAGGGCTTCAATAAGACACACGGTCCAATCTCTCAGCTTTGAGAAGGTCTTTGCCTACCCTAAATCCTCCAAGATATATGATTTAAAGTAAGACAGTAGTTCCACAATGACCCTTTCTTGCAGTCCAAGTTCTAATTGATCCCTCATTAGCCCAATTTAGTCTCATTTCCTCCTTGGAGATAATTGGTCAACCCTTTTTATATCATTAAGCTTTAAAAGAGCAATTAAGCTCTTTTACTGACAAAACTATTCCAGTGCCATCAGGTAAATAATATTTGAATTAACTTTGATTTTTTAAAAATATTTCACACAAATATTTCTAAGATGCTGCACATGAGAACAAAGCCCATATTCAACAGTAAACACTGATTTGAGGAGGTGAGGCCTTGAAGATTAAGTAATAACAATAATAAGGTACCCACACCAAAATTCCAACAATAAAAAAAAAATTAGGCAGAAATCAATACAACATTGTAAAACAATTATCCTCTAATTAAAAATAAATTCAAAAAATAAAATAAAATGGATAACAACAACAACAACAAAATTAGGCTGTCCCCAACACTGAAGATGAATGAAGATAAAACAGAAAGTTCAAAGGAAACAATGATTAAAAAAAAATTTTCTACAGAATAATGTGATTTAAACAGTCTTCCAGCAAAGAATCCACCTGCTGTTTTCCGTAATCAATCTAATATTGAATATTTAAACTACATTGAGTAGTCCAGTAAGTGGTATCTATGGCAAGTTAACTGTCTTTTTTTTTTTCATACACACACATAGTCATGTTAAAGATTCAGGACTATTTTTTTCCTAGTTAGAATTTTGATGGGACTATGAATAGTCACTCTGGCTGTTGGGGCGGGGGTCGGGTGGGACTGTCATTACCTTTCCCAAGGCATGTTGTTATTACCAAATGCCTTCATAGAACATACTTACAAATATATGGGAATACAGCAAGGAGATCAAACCAGTCAGTCCTAAAGGAAATCAACCCTGAATATTCATTGGAAGGACTGATGCTGAAGTTGAAGCTCCAATACTTTGGCCACCTGATGCAAAGAGCTGACTCATTGGAAAAGGCTGTGATCCTGGGAAAGATTGAAGGCAAGAGGAGAAGGGGGTGACAGAGGATGAGGTGGTTGGATGGCATCACCAATTCAATGGACATGAGTTTGAGCACATTCCAGGAGATAGTGAAGGACAAGGAAGCCTGGCATGATGCAGTCCATGGGGTCACAAAGAGTCGGACATGACTGAGCGACTGAACAACAGCAACAAGAGATGTGTATTTCCTCACTTTTCAATAATGGGGTTTCCAACACAGGTCAAAGAGTAGATTCTGGTTTAAATAACAAATCATTATGATTTAACTTCATACCCTTTAATCAAGAAGATATCAAACAGTAATACTCTCCCTTTGAAAGCACCTGTTGAGTACACACATCAATAATCAGATCTTACTCTGTTTTCTCATTATCTTCACTGATTTGACCTGAGCACTGAAATAATGGAATGTAAATACTATAAATGCTTCCATAGCTGCTAAATTTGAAGACATGTTATATGATGTTGAAGGATAAGCCAAACGGTGTGCTAATCCTTCCCATCTTATACATATGCTAATTCAAGAAGGTAGAACAGTGTGCATTATCCAAAGGCACAATACATCCATGAAAAAGGCAGTAAAGCCATGTTAATTAAAAGTAAACTATCATCCCAGCTTCCCAAGTAGGTCAAGAAGATCACTTGGAGTAGGAAATGACAATCCACACCAGTATTATTGCCTGGAAAATTACATGGGCAGAGGAGCCTGGTGAGCTATATAGTCCATGGGGTTGCAAAGGGTCAGACATGACTGCATGACCAAGCATGCACATGCACACATGCGCACAAGCACGCACACATGCACAACATCATCTAATGGTTTTTAACATTTGGGGGCATCAGTTGGCTCTTTGAGAATACAGTGAAAGCTTCAAATCCTCTCCTCAGAAAAATATGGTAAAACAAAATTTGTCTACAAATTTCAGGAGCCACAGCAGCCCCCAGTTAAAGAATGGGACCCTGGACTAAAAACCTTTCACCATATTAGATACTAGCTATAATTAGCAATGACAGTTTAAAGTGTGGCTTCTAGAACTTTATTCCATTGATTTTAACTAGTTTCCTGATTAACCATTCACATAATTTTTCAGAGAAATAACTTTGATTAGTGCCAAATAAACACTGCTTTACCATAGTTACCCTACAAAAGAACAACTCACCAACTTTTGCAAAGGCCTCTTTGAGTTCATCAAGCTCATCTTTGGAAATCTGAGTGGTAGCCATCTCATCCATTTAAAGATCTAAAGAGAAACCAAAAAGGTTTAAGACTTGAAAACAGTCACAGATAAAGAGAACAAACAGGTAGATGCAAGATGGGAGGGGAGAGGGGGAGGAAAGAAGTGAGGAAGGTGAAGACGTACAAACTTCCAATTATAAATTGAAAAATAACTGAGTCACAGGTATGAAATGTACAGTGTGGGAAATATAGTAAATAATATCTTTGTGTGGTGACATAATTAAAACTAGACTTATCATGGTGATCAGTTTGGAATGTACAGAAATATCAAATCACTATATTAAGTAACAAGAACTAACAGTGTTGTGGGTCAATTATACTTCAAAAACAAACTGACAGAAAAGGAGATGAGATTGGTGGTTATAAGACGCAGGGGGTTACCAGAGGATAGGGAATTGGATGAAGGCAGTCAAAAGGTATAAACTCCCAGTTATAAGTAAGTACTAGGGATGTAATGTACAACATGATAACTATAATGTGAAAGTTGTTAAGAGAGCAAATCCTAAGAGTTCTCATCAAAAGGAAAAACATTTTTTTCTTTTATTTTGTATCTATATGAGAGAATGCATATTTACTAAATTTATTGTGATAATCCTTTCGTGATGTATATAAATCATCTTGCTGTTCACCTTAAATTTCTACAATGCTGCATGTCAATTGTATCTATAAAACTGGAAGAAAAAAATTTTAAGACAAAAAATTTGTGATGAATATATTACCAGCAATCCTGTAAACTCTCATTTTATGGATAATTTAGACAGAAATTCAAACTACTGGAACTATCTGAATAGGTTCCCATATTTCTAGATACAGCCATAATGAAGAAAACAAATGAGAAATTATCATTGGTCAAAAGCTCTTCAGACAAAAATACTTCTCAATCTTCCTTTCAAGGACAAAGTCTTATGCTGCATTCAAAGAATGTAAAGAAGGGGCAAGGTAGCAAGCAATGATAGATTCTTGGTTATATGAGCCAAAACTAAGTCAAAATTATATGACTAAAGATTCAAGTAAAATATAAATTTTTTAGGACTTCCCTGGCGGTCCAGTGGTTAGGTCTCTGTGCTTCCACTGCAAAGGGCACAGGCTCAATCCCTGGAGGGGGAACTAAGATCCCTTATGCCACATGGTGTGGCCAATAAATAAATAAATAAATAAATAAATAACTTTTTGAATTAGCATCTATCTATCTTATTGGCTAGTTCCATTTTTTCCATCTTTACTGAGATATGTGACATAATATTGTGTAAGTTTAAGCTGTATACCATAACAACTTGATACATACATATATTGTGAAATATATAGTAACTTAACCACAATAAGTAAGTGAACACTTCTATCACCTCACATAGTTACCATTTTTCCCCTTAAGTCATTTAAAAGTCATTCACTGTTGAAAACCTTATTTTCAAATAGGAGCATACTAACAGCTACCAATCATCCCCATTAAAGAGTGAATCAACTAAAACAAATTATTTTGGGGTTTGATACAGAAATACACAAGAGCATGCTTATCAACACATCTTTGTGTACACAACTTATTAATATTATTTGAGCTTATACTCTTCTTGATTTGGCCCTATTTTACCTATTTAACCAACAAATAAGTCTTGGCAAACTATGGCCTGTGGGCCCAATCTGGACCACTGCTTATTTCTGTATGGCCCCAAGCTAAGTATGGTTTTTTTCAGAAAAACATCTGCTGTCAAATGTTTGAATTTCAATAAAATGAAATGTTATCCCAGAAAAAAAAAAAACAAAAGAATTCCATTTTTCTCATCAGTACAGTTGTAGTACCAAAAAAAGTACTCAAATAGTTATTATTTTTTGAATTTTGTCAGTAAAAATTTGTGGAAACAATATTTAAATCCTTGAGATTAATAATATAATATTCTTATTTTGCCTCTTGGCGTACAATATTTATGAGGGGACCTTTACAGAAAATCTTGACTGATTCCTGCAATTGAAAAAGGAGGTCTGTACTACAATGGAAAATTCTCACATACAAACCTATTAACAACTTTTAGACAGAAGGAAGTGCACATGATTATTTGTTGCCTTTTTTTTTCTCATTTAATGTTTTTAACTCCTGGAGAAGGAAATGGCAACCTATTCCAGTATTCTTGCCCAGAGAATTCCATGGACAGAGGAGCCTGGCAAGCTATAGTCCATGGGGTCGCAAAGAGCTGGACATGACTGAGCGACTTTCACATACACAATCTTTTTAAAGAAATTTACTTTTTAGCAGAACTGAGCAAAAAGCAGAGAATTTAGTTTCCATATACCCCCTGCCCTAACACTCTCACAGCCTCCCTCATTATGAACATCCTTCATCAGTGATATATTTGTTACAACTGATGAACCTTCTTTGACACATCATTGTCACCTAAGTCAACAGTTCACATTAGACTCACTCTTGGTGTTGTACATACTATGCATTCTGTATATACAAAATGAATGCCATTGTGGTATCATAAGGATAGTTTCACTGCCCTAAATGTGTTGCCTGTTAAAGTTCAAAAACCATATGAAAAGCAAATTTGAGATCTTATATTTATTTATTTTAAACATTTTTATTAAAAGTTAAAAAATTACTTGCCAACTCTTCTGTTTGCCATGATGCCTAATATTTAATACAGAAGAATTCAAAAGAGAGTGAACCACATCTGTCTTTTGCACACCCATCACTGTCACTTCTAGAACTAACCACAGTCCCAGTCATGTAGTAAGGGACTCACCAAAATAGCACTTTCATAAATTCATTCATTCAACAACTATGTGCCAAGCCTTACATCAGATAAATTCATATTCCTACTAATTCTCTGAACCCTCATAACAGTCTTTCGAGGTAAATATTCTTACTCCTTTTAGAATTCAAACTCAGGTTTCTCAAATCCCTGCAAAGATTTTAAATGACCATATGATACTATTCACTATGTTTCCACCCTAATACAATACACATTTATAATGACTCATATTTTTTTAAAAATTAAATAAAAGCAGACTTTTCAAAAACTTGTCTGTTCATAAAGCTTTTCTTACCTCTAGTGTTAATATGTCACTAGATGGACAACTTCTCAGTAGATAAGCTGTGTAAAAAACACCTTTCAGAGCAGTCTCAGGATCTATAGGGTAAAGAAAGATCTTCAGTTGGATACGAAGGCAGTCATTTTCAAGATTTGGAGAGTAAAAAATGATTTTGCCTGTTAGCCTGCAACCTGCTGATGGTACTTTTAAAAATATTCTATACTTTACTAATATGATGTTCAACACTTCTGATTACCAAAATACTCTACAGGTTTCACTCTAGTTTTCTTTACACATATTTTAAGTAATCATGTTTTCAATGTGAAATAATTGCCCCTCTCTAGTAATGACATCACACAGAACAATGGCACAGAAAGTTTGAAAGTGAGACTCTCAGAAAATTGAAAACAAGGGGACTCTCCTTTATTTCTAAAGTTTCCATCTAGTTTGGACAATTTGTGAGTCAATAATAATCTAAAATATGTTTTTTTAAAGAATGTATTATTCTTATACTGTTATATCACTTCTATAAAAGAGAAAATTAGGCAAAAGTGGTTCTGGACATTTACCTCCCACCCACCCCATACCCACCCCCAACCCCAATCTGCAGCACCTTTCATTCTGGCTAACCAGTGGGTTCTGAATCAGACCTTCTCTCCCAGATCTCCCCTTTGCAGGCAGCAGAGCTAACAGGGTAGAAACCTCTTCCCTCTTCTTTATACCCATCCCTCAACACATATGCACTTCTATCCTCACACATTTTTACCCAGGCCTCTGTTATATGTCTAGTTCCTGCCTTCAAACAATTTACAATCTGGGGAAGACAAAGATGTAGATAATTATAATTTGACACAAAGTGAACTAGTGGTTGCAATAAAAGGTACAGACAGGGGAAAGACTCTGAAGACTTTAAGGATTATTAATTTCATCTCAAGCAGGCCAAAAAAATAGCACTTTTGTTCATCCTGCAAAATTAGGATATACATACATCTCACAGAAATGCTTTCAAGGCACACGCTTACTTAAAAAAAATTAATAAAACACATCATTAAAAAAAACCCAAAATACACTTTAAAGTTTCCTAATTTCTTATTCCTGTCTAAATACCATCATAAAAGCCTAAAGTGACCCCTTTTACACTGATAGCTCAGATTTTTCAGCTACAGGAGACAAGAAGAGGCACACCTAAGAATGAAAAGAACTGTAACACGCATATATTACACAAAGAATATTTGTTTAGTTCAGGATAACAACATACTTTAATTTAGGAGTCTCCCACTTAAATAAACTCCATTTTGTTTATTTATAATTATTTGAAAGTAAATAAATAAATGCTACCCTGAAGCACCTGGACTAAAACTAAGAAATCCAATGTAAAGTTTAAAAGCCTCACAATATACACCTCAGTTGACAAAAATCATAATATTCAAGTTAGCTATTTAATGCAGATATTTTTCCCCCTATGAATAAAAAAAGGTTTGTCCTTAAGATTACTTAGGGGTACTTGATGGAATCAAGCAATTAAGTACTATATCACATTTAAATAATTTAGGGAAGACTGCCAGGAACATCAGATTTTTAGAAACTGTAAAAATTGAAATTACTGAAAGCTCTACCCTCTTTATAGGGCATTCATTGTACTCTTTCTCTCAAAATAAGTAAAACATCCCAGACTGGGGTTTAGGAAGCAAAACAGATGATTACTGCCCAATAAACACCTTGATTGAATCCTGAATACTTGCAGCAAACTGTTGTTCCCCACCCAAGGATGTAGTATGTTAACACAGGAAGATTGAGAGATGTGGAATCAGAAGACATCAATCAGTGTCCCGGCTCTGCGACCTCCTAGCAGTGTGTCTATGAGTTTGTTTATTTAATCCTTCTAAGCCTCAGTTTCCTCCTTTGAAAACAGCCATAATAACTACTTCCCTAGGGTCCTGATGAAGATTAAAGATGGCAT